AGGGTTTCCGAGGCTGTAAATCTTTACGGGAGCAGAAAGCCTCATCTTTCTCCTGCGGAACAGCTGGTAGTTTCGAACTGCTGACCTTGCGGTTCACAGCCCGGTTAGTAACCACTACGCTTACCAGAGCTCCTTATTGGTATTGCATACTAAAGACTTCATCCTTTAAAGGTGTACAATTCAGTGTTCTATTTAGTATAGTCACAAAGTTGTGCATCTGTCACCACTACCAAATTCAGAACGGATTTATCTTTTTCAACAAATTCTATACCTATTAGCAGCCACTCCTCATCCCCATGCCCCTTCAGCTCTGGCAGTTAACCAATTTACTTTCTGTCCCTATGGGTCTTCCTGTTCTGCACATTTCCTATAAATAGAACTATAGAATGCATGGCCTTCTTGTCTGATGCCTTTCACTTCGCATAAGGTTCATCCATGATGTATCATTCTAAGCAGTTCTTCACAGTTTTTATGGTTAAGTAATATTTCATCACATTCATTGACTGTTGGACATTTTGGTTGTTTTCAGGTTTTTGGCTGTTAGTAATAATGTTGCTGTAAACATTTCTGTACCCATTTTTATGTGGACATATGTTCAATTTTCTTGTGACTATGCCTAGAAGTAGACTTGCTAATCATGTAACTCCATGTTAAAGTTGTAAGGAATGCGAACTTGTTTCTCAGAGCTATTATACCTTTTCACAGTTCCATCAGGAATGCCTGAGCTGCCAGTTTCACCACATCCTTGCCAGCAGTTGTTATTGTCCTTATTTTTATTGTAATTCTCCTAGTAGGTGGGAAGTAGTCTCTCATTGTGGTTTTGACTGGACTACTAACCACAACAACAAGGTCTAGTGATGTTGAGCATTTTTCCATGTGCTTATTGATGAGTTGGCTGCTGGTGTGGTGATGTAGGATAAGCACTGGACTGCTAACCACAAGGTCAGCGGTTCAACCCCACCAGCTGCTCCTTGGAAACTCTTATACAGGTCACTATGAGTCAGAACCAACTCCAGGACACTTAACATCAACATTAACTGTTTGTATATCTTCTTTGAAGGAATGTCTGTTCAAATCCTTGGGCTGTTTTTAAGTTAGTCCATTTATCAGGTATTTGACTTGCAAATATTTTCTTCTATTCTGTGAATGATTCTTAAATGCATTTTTGTGTACCAACTTTCTGGATATTGATTTATTTCATTTGCTTGCATAGTATTTATATTAAGTTTGAGTCTTGCTGTAAAAAAGCTAGCATGCAAACCAAAGTTTTTAACAGAAACATAAGCAGTTATGGATACACACAGTAAAGTTCATGTACACAGCACATTCCTTAAAGAAGATGAAAAGATTATGAGCTGATTTTAGATATTTTGCCTTCAAGATCTGAATTAACTGCTTCTTCATTCAAGAAAGATTTTTTTTGTTGTTGAAAGATTTATTTTTTCTGGTTTGTACAATCCCAAATCAGTTATCATCTTTGTATAGGAGAAAACATATTATTTATTCTTAACGTTAATCTAAAACTTACAAGTTTTGTAAGTGAAATTTGAATGTCAAGTAACTAATAACTTACCAAATATTGATCATATAATTTTGAAATGTGAGCAAAAGAACATCTTTTAATAAATTATTTTATTAGGAAAAAGTGTGCTCTCTAACCCAGCTGCTCTGACCACATATGTATTTTGAAAGGATTTTGGGTACTGATGAGGTGGTTCACTCAGTTTTTGGCTCTAAGTAACCTCTAGAAGAAGAAAATAATACAATTAAGAAAGCCCTTCTTTCGAGATTTGAGGATATTGTATCAGATCATCTCGTACTTCCTCATATAGTAGTGATGATGATGTAATGTTTTTAAAGTTTGATGTATAAAATTAGTGGTTATAGCTCAGATTTTCTAGTTTTCTTATTACAAGTGTATAGTCATCTGTAACTGACAATTAAATTGTGTTTTATATTTGATAAGATGAAAATTCTCATTTCTCTTTTCACTCCAGGCCTCAGGAGTGCAAGTTGCTGATGAAGTATGCCGCATTTTTTATGACATGAAAGTTCGGAAGTGCTCCACACCTGAAGAAATCAAGAAAAGAAAGAAGGCTGTCATTTTCTGTCTCAGTGCTGACAAAAAGTGCATCATCGTAGAAGAAGGCAAAGAGATCTTGGTTGGAGATGTTGGAGTAACCATAACCGATCCTTTCAAGCATTTTGTGGGAATGCTTCCTGAAAAAGATTGTCGTTATGCCTTGTATGATGCAAGCTTTGAAACCAAGGAGTCCAGAAAAGAGGAGCTGATGTTTTTTCTGTGGGAACCATCATTTGAAATACTGAATGTCTACAAAACTGAGGTGTAATGTCTTTTGTTAGCAGTTGGAGAGCCAGTTCCTGAGACTAAAAGTAATTTACATTTCTGTTATTACAGTCATCATTTAATTTTTGTGTGCAGGTTATATAAGGTCTTAATGGATACTAGTGCTTGTGGGCCCAGAACTAACCTCAAACTCCTGTTTATCTCCTTGAGAGAAGATGACTTCCAGTAATTGGTTTTTAGGGCATGGTGGAGACAGAGGCTTGTTTCTGTGCAGCCTGTGAACTTACTGCTTATAAGCGAAAATTATTCTATGAATTCTAGGTACCAATGGCCCACTTGGTGAAACAGCCGTGTTCTACTTGAATCCCAACTATAATGTATCCTGTATCCACCTTGTAGGTCAGTAGGGTAACCGCTAGTCATGTTCTGGTGTACACAGCACAAGCTGCTGTAAAATGACAGTAAAGACGGACTTCAGATTAGTAGTGCAGTGGAACAATTTTAAAGAGAGAGAGAGCAGAATAGATCATTGCAGCACAGAAGACTGAGTTTTCCACAAGAAGGAACTTTTGGCTTCAACAATTAGAAGTCATGGTTTCCTTTTGTAGGGTGTGGACTATGGCTTGTTGGAAGGCCATTGGTCAGAAATGAAGTAAGGTCTCAGTCCATTGTTCATAAGAAAGGGCCAAATGATTATGGTTCTGTGGGCTTGTTTTACAGGAGAAAACAGTAACAGTACAAAATGCCTGTGTTCCTCAGATAAGCACTTCCTTTGGCCAGTGAACTTTCATGGTATAGATGTTAATGATCTTGTGTGTCCCTTCAGTAATCACATACTTTGAAGATATGTGGAGCTTGTCTGGTTTGTCACATAAATTCATTCATACCTTTGTCTCGTAGTAACCCCAAGTTGGCAGCTCTCTAGACTTAATACAGACACTGTGGATATTTATTTTTAAGCTCATTGAACTAAGTTAAAAACTGGTTTCTCAGTTACCGTGTTCCAATGCTCAGTAGTCACATGTGACTAATGACTACCTTGTTGGATGTCAAAGGTCATAGCACATTTTTATCATTGCAGAAAGTACTTTTGGGACCCCTCTTCTCTGTATAGTGAAAAAAATGCTATCAAGTGATTTACATGGCCTTTCTCTTGAAAGGCTCTTTCAGTTAGTTATTCTCTTTTCAATTAAGTTAATATCTGAGGTGAAGCTTTGAGTTAAAAGTTAACACCTATGCTGGTATTGTGTGCTGTCAAGGCGGTTCTGACTCACAGCGACATTGTGTAGGGGTTTCCAAGAGCGGCTGTTGGGTTTGAACTGCTGATTTTGTGGTTCTAGATGCTTATCCTATAGCACCACAATTCCTCATTGAATTGTATAACAGGCTACATTCCTTGACATGCAAAATAGTCACATACTAAAAATACTCTCTAGCTTCAGGGGTAGGCAGTAGTTGTAATATTCTCTGATTTTGGTTTGAATGCAGTTTTGTGTGTGTATGTGTGTAATTGTGAATGGTACTGCTGCTACCTCCCCCTAGAAGCTAGAGAATATTTTAGTAGGATTCCTGGTAGCACCGTGAATAATTATTGTGTTGCTAGCCACCAGCTGCTCTAAGTGAGAAAGATGAGGCCGACTTTGTCAATAAAAATTTACAGCCTCAAGAACCCTATGAAGCCGTCCTACTCTGCCCTGTAGTGTCTGTGAGACTGCAAAGCCCTTTGAACTGCAAGGTCAGGGTTCAAGCTCGCCAGCTGCTCCTTGGAACCCTATACAGGATCTCTATGGGTTGGAACTGACTCGACGGCACTTAACAACAACAACATAAATAAGGTGCTCTGGTAGTATAGTGGTTATGAATCGCGCTGTGAGCCTTAAAGTCAGCAGTTGGAAACTACCAGCTGTTCCGCGGGAGAAAAGATGAGGCTTTTTGCTTCCATAAAGATTTACAGCCTCGGAAACCCTCTACAGGGTTGCTATGGGTCTAAATCGACTCGACAGCACTTAACAACAACAACATATATAGTTAAAGAAAAGATAGAACACCATTGTTGATTGGAGTGTTCTATAACCAGCTCTGTCCAGGGCCTAGGGAATGGTTCTTATTTAAATTCTTTTTAAAATCTGGCTGGAGTAAAATCAGAACAGCCAATGCTTTTTCATGTCCCTGACCTATTTGCATAAGAAACGCACCCACTGAACTTTGCAGCTGAAATCATCTGCCAGACCAGAGATTATTTATTATAATTTTGCTTCCCTTTTTGGACCTAGAGTTGGGATGACAAGCTTTTGATAGACAAAGAGACTGTGCCCTTTTCCAGGTTCCAAGAGTCAAATCCGTGCCCATTTGGATAGGGGGTAGACTACAGGGGAACCCCACATCCTCCCATGGTGTTACTGGCTGTGGAATGTCCTAGAATGACCGCAGTTAAACTGAGTCATTCAATGCTTGCAAGTGTTTACATAAATTCCATTTTGTGTCTGAGGTTTGGTGACGTGGTTAACAAGGCATTCAGAGATAGGTAGTTCTGAGTAGAATGAAGTTTTTCTATCAATTGTTAATATTTCTGTTATTCATTGCTTCCGGTATTCATTCAAGAGTGGGCAAGGTACTGAAGATGCTGTAGTTGCAAAATAGCAGCATCAGCAATTAGGACGTCATTATTGTTGCATGGCACGTAGTTTAAAACAAAAAATCCTGGCGAAAGCTGTCTTTAGAAGTATGAGATATAAATATATTTGAGATATAAATATATATGAGATATATTTGTATTAGAGATAAAAATATATATGAGCTGTATAGATATAAATAAAATTTGTTTAATTTTTTTGGTTTCAAGAAAGTAAAAGTGGTTTTGACGCACATTGAGCACTGAATGTGTTTGGTTATGTTAAACTAAGAGAGGAAACAAGCACCGAAGTGGTTGCAGTTTTTACCATTGGAACAGAAGGGGCTGGACAGGGCTAAAAAGGGGGCTTTGATTTGTAATGTATTCTTTTAAAGAAAATTATCTGAAGCAAAATGACAAAACACTAGCATTTGTTAATTCTGGGTGATAGATACTTTTAGAATATTTCCTTGTACTTTTTTTCCAACTAGAACAATGTATCTAAGAAAGAAACCTTGCATAAATATGGTTTTTAGATTGAACTTAAGTTTTATCAATAAAAAATTGAAAAGATTTTTATTATAAAGACAAATAATTGAGTAATAATATAGTGGATTGCCCTGTGTTGAGTCTTGTATTATGGATGGACACATTGATCTGGTTATAAGTCATTGGTTCTCACCTCCTTTTCTAACAGTGTTTATTCACATTTTCCCACCCTGGCCAACCTAATGCCTGTCCATTAGCAGTTATTCTCTGAAACCAAAACCAAAGCCATTGCCAACAAGTTGATTGTGCGTCATGGTGTGACCATGTGCCACAGAGTAGGACTGTTCTTAGGGTTTTGTTGGCTGTGATCTTTACGGAAGCAGATCATCAGATCTTTCTTTCGTGACACCAGTAGGTGGGTTTGAACAGCCAATCTTTCTGTTATCAGTCCAGTGCAAATTGTGTGCCACTGCAGGATGGGAGCTGTTACTCTCTAAGGAGGTGAGGAGTAGACACTTGAGTGGTTAGCATGGCAGAAAGTGTCGCCTGGGGGATTTAGAGGCTTAGCCACATCGAAATTATACCCTGTTTAAACCACTTTTTCCATTTTGACATCTCTCTGCCCAGGGCACCAGAACTAGCACCTCTGAAAAGTAAAATGATCTACGCAAGCTCCAAGGATGCAATCAAAAAGAAATTTCAAGGTTGGTATGGATTTATCTATCAATCTTTAGAGTTGTGGCCTGGTCCCTGGGAAGGGGACTGCAGCATTTTGAAGAAGCACAGTGTCTTTGGGAAGACTTGGGCATAAAGAAGGAAGCAGTGACTGTGTTGAGAAAGAAGACAAAAAGTCTTCATGTGTCCTCTTCCTTATACTTCCTTATACAGACTCCTGAGTATGAATTGCTTGTGCGCAGTAATCATGTGTTTAGCACTTGGTGTCCATGTCACCTGTTCAGGATGCTTTTCAGTGAGTTCGAGATGTCACCAAGTTCATGGAGTAGGTGGAGACTAATTGGTTTGCATCGGTCAGAGCTTGATAATAAATTGCTGTTGCTTTTGATTGCAGTTGATATAGTAAAGTTGCAAAGTGAGAATGCATATACAAAGGAAGGGGGGGAATGTGCTTTACTGCTCAGTTCCATTGTGATCTAGGGAATTGACTCATCAGTGCTCTCAGTCCTTGAGTTACCTTGGCACAGCTTACCAGCCACATTACTGTCTCAGCCAGTACAAGATGTTGCTGTGATGGAAAGCTCATGAGGCAGTTGCCCAGAGACCCGCATTGAAGGTTAAGTGTCTTGTCTAACTTGCAAATCATTTCATTTCCATGGGCCTTACTTCATTAATATTGGGCTTGCTTAACCACAAGACCAGCAGTTCAAGCTCACCTGCCACTCTGTGGGAGCAAGCTGAGGCTGCCTGTTCCCATAAAGATTTACAGCCTCGGAAACTCTAGGGAGCAGTCCGACTGTGTCTTGTCGGGTTACTGTGAGTCTGAGTAGATTCAGTGACAAGGGGGTTTGGTTTGGTAGACTGTGAGGTCTGCCAAGGGTTATGTGTGAGCTTAGTCTCAGGAGGTTGCCTGCTACCTTCCTGCTCATAAACAGCTTAGTAAACCACTGTCACAAGGGCTTAGCCACATGTGGTTTTTGTTTTGTTTATTTTCCTGTAACTGACTTTCCTATTGTTTGCCCTCACTTGTTTTACTCAGTCAGGAAAACAGCTCCTGAGCCCTGCGGTGGCATGTTCAGGATCTTGTCAGGTGCTACATGCAGCCACGTTGGTGCTGGGCATCCCGTAGGAGCAGGCTCATCAGTCTGTTAACTGACATTTGAAAGTGACTGCTTAGCTTCAACACTTACAAAATGCAATTGAAAAAGATTCAGACTGGATTTATCATTATCCTTATTCTGCATTATCTTGCAAAATAAAGGGACTTTCTATGTAGGATTGATACGGTAATAGAAAAAGTTGTTTTTGTATTTTTTCACATCAGTCCTAACTTAGCCAAAAGCTGACCGGTTAAGTTTTCACTAGCTTGTGAAATGATCTGAAAATTATGGATCCTTGGAAGCAGTGCAGCTGTTAAAAACCAGCAGCTGTTCAGAGACGCTGCTGTGTACAGTTTCATAGTTGAGCTCATTGTGCCTTGTGGTCATTTTTCTGAAAAAGCACTCCCAACACAATCTACACAGCTTCCTTTGTGGTGTGTTTCTTAAAGCTAGTTCTTTTGTAGAGCAAAAGTGATGTCATTGCCAATGTTCTTACTCTTGAGTAGTTGACTAAATCAACTGCATTCAAAACATCTAACTCATATTTTTAATGATCTTAAATAGCATGATAAACTAGCAGACTTGTTTTTCAACTTTTTACTGAAGTAATATGAGCTTCAAAAAGTTCACGGAAAAATGGATTTGAAAAATAATGGATTTTTTTTTCCATAAAAATTTTGAAGTCTTCTCCTATGTATCTGTATATATGTGTGTATATTGATGTTAAGTGTTGTCGAGTCGATTTTGAGTCACAAGAGCCTGTGTAAGAGTTTCAAGGAGCAACTGATGGGTCTGAAGCGCCAACCTTGTGGTTCCAAACCGACCTTGCGGTCCAGTGGCATTATCCTGCGGCACCACACTGGGACTCCCTATGTGTGTGTACACACACACACACACATATATATGTAATTAATTGTAAATCTTGATGAATTTTCACAAAGTGGCCATAAACGTCTATTTCTTGAGCTAATGACCAGCAACCCCAGAACACACCCTCCATAAGGGTAACTGTTATCCTGGCTTCTAACAGCATGTATTAGTTTCAGCTGGCACTCTGTATGTTATACAAAGAATCATATAGAATGTATGCTTTTATGTATAGCTTTTTTCAAGCAAAACTGTTGAGGGCCATCCATTTTGATGTATGTAGTTAGTTCGTTTTAAATACTGTGTAGTGTTCCAAAGTTTCTGTCTATCCACATTAGAACTGGTTTTTCAGAATGGTATGCTACCTTAAAGAAGTAGGTATGCTATTGCCATAATTCTAAATGGTTATTTGTTTTTTCTCTAGGCATAAAACACGAATGTCAAGCAAATGGGCCAGAAGACCTCAATCGGGCTTATATTGCTGAGAAGCTAGGTGGATCCTTAATTGTAGCTTTTGAAGGATGCCCTGTGTAGATCATTCAGTGCCACAAACCAAAAGCTTCCATGTTTAATGTTATTCTCTTTTTATATAAATGAAGCAAATCTGTTTAGGCCAGGGTCTCACTGAGGGGGATTTGTCTTACACCATCTTCTAGAGTAAATGAAATATTCTATAAACATGTGCAGATGGCCCCTCAATAAATCTAGTTTTATTGGTATGAAGTTAAATTCTTATTGGCCAAATGCCTGTTTTAATGAGTTGGCTTGGAAAGATTATTGTGAAGCTCAGGATTTTTAATGAAGAGACATACTACATCTTTGTTAACCTCAGCAGTTACTTTGTCTCTTTGGCTTAGAGAATTGGCCATAATTTGGTTATAATTTTGGCCCAAGTTCATTCTTCTTCATCAAGCTAAGCTTAATAATGGAAAACAATTCTCCTCCCAGCATGTTAACAACACTAATACACTAAGTACGATTTAGCCAGGCAGTCTTTAATTCTACCAAATGAGTAAACGACTGCCTCAAAATTTTGTACACTTATAATCAATGCTGATCTTGCAAAGCACTATTTACAGCACTTAACGGGAACATAGGAAGCAGCTCTTTGCACCATGGTGAGTTCTCTACTCACTAGTTGGGAGGCAATCTTGGTGGATTGACCTTGCACCCTGGAAATCACGGGTGTCCTCAGGAGAATGTGCATTGTAAGCCAACTTATATGCACATTATAGCTCCATTTTAATATGCTTTAATAAAAATGATAATATATTGACAAGCTAGGACACCTATATCTTTGTGTTTCCTCTGGAGTTTTGCGGCTTCTGGTACAGTAAAGGGGTAGAAGAGTACTCGGTCAATGATCACTTGGGGGCCTGCGAGAACTTCATCTCCTAGAGCAGTTACTGTGTGAAGTGGGAGCACGTGTGTCGGGTGACCCTCCCAGGAAACAGTTCCTGATGGATTGGATGCAATTTTTGTAACATCACAGAGATGCACAAACAGTTGAACTTAGAAGTAGCAGTATTGGCTTTATGTAATAAAGGAAGCATTTTTAACCTCTTTCTCGTGTACTTATTCACATGTCCAAATGAGAGTATGTTATTAAGATTGGGGGTATCAGTTAAGGTAACAGCTCTTTCTCTGCTGATAGAATGATAAAGTTGAGAATCTTTTTTTTTTATTCCAAGTTTTTATCCAAACAACAGGTTTTTATCTTTGATTCATTTGGGAAACATCAAAAGTTACCTTGCTTCAGTCAACGCTTCTTTAAATTGTCTAAGGCAGTAGTGCTGGTTGCTTGTTTCCTGTGGTAGTGCCTATAGGGGTAGTGTGTAGTAATTGCTCTCCAGAGAAGCAGGCCACCATGTAGCCGGGCAGTTTAGAAACAGGCTCCTGTGTGGCTTTGGTGTGCTGTGCGCTGGATGGCACTTCTGGAACCACCTAAGAGTGCAGGCACGCAGTTGTGCACGTGTGTGCAATGTGTGATCGTGGTGAGGCTTTCACACCGGGTGCAGGGATCTAGTGCTTTCCCATACACTTTATTCCAAAAATGGACAAAATGCGAATAGAGCAGGCTTTGCAAAATGTCTTTAATGGATTCTTGACTCAAGAATCTTTCAATAAGCATACCAGGCGATTCTAGTGTAAAATCAGGATGTTAGACTTTGGCTGACTTTGCCCAGTAATAAGATGGGGTATAGGGGTATACTGCTTTCTGAAAACATACCTTTTCACATGGGCTTACCCACTGCCCTGAGAAAGCAGCAAATAAAGCTACTCTCATGGCACAATGGCCAAGTGCTCAGCTGCCACCACAAGGTTAGTGGAGTGAACTACGCAGCAGGTCCCACAGTAGAAAAGCTGGTGATATTCTCCCATCAAGAGTACCGCCTAGAAAGCTCTGTGCGACAGTTAACACTATGACACATGGGATTGCTCTGAGTCAAAAGTGACCCAGGCACCTAATAACACAGCGTGTCAGTCAGAACTTGACAGTGCGGGCTGTTATTCCAGGAACTATCAATCTCTGAGAAAACAGCAGAGTAATGGAGTAATAAATAGGCTTAGTCGAGTGGTTTTCTCTCTGGGGACCACTGTCCTAAGTGCTGGCTGGTCCAGATGCAGGGAAGTGCAGCCTGAGTGACCAGCCTGTTGCCCTCTGGCCATCAGACTGGATAGCAGGATACAGCACTTTCTCTTGACTTTGGACATTTCTAAAGTATGTGAACAGTTCCAAACTGGGCTCCGGGTGAAAGAAGGGCTTCCTGGGGGCCGAGGGGGAGTGGGGGTAGGTATGTAGTTCTGGGAGTTTCAGTGGAAGGAAGCCCCAGCTGGAGTAAACAGGGATGTATTTGGTCTGACCACAGCTCACTAAGCCAAAGGCATACAGCTGTAGTTGATGGGCATCCCGGAAGAGCTTGGCGGAGCCCCTGGCCAGACTCATCTGTGTCCAGCCTAGAGAGGTCAAGTCAGCCTAAGGTTACACAGGTGGGGCCAAAAATTTTCTCAGTTCTTGATCCATTCCTACTGCACCTTTGGAAAATTCATTTCTAATAGCTGCAGTTTTGAAGTTAGATCGTGCTCCATGCCAGGGGTGCTCCATGCCAGGGGTAAAACTTGAATAGGGGCAGGAAATAGAAAAGTAGTTATTTTGGGCCCTGAAAGCTCGGGTGGAAAAGGCATTTGTGGAGTGAGTGTCTAAAATCTTGTTTCCTATCTCCAAAGCCTTGCTGTTTCTTTGCGCTTCCTGTCTTTCCTGCACTGCACCCCTTCCCACACGCAGCCAGCTAAGCAGCGAGAATTTGAGCAGCAGCGAGAGAGCTTGAGCAGCAGTGAAAACAAGAGTGAGAGCTTGAGCAGCAGCAAGAGCGAGAGTGAGAGCTTGAGCAGCGAGATTCGGAGTCCTGGTGTGGTGCTGTGGGTTAATGTGCCAGACTCCAAGGCCGTTTTAACTGCAAGGAAAAGGAGCAGAGGGCCTCATCTCTTTCCCACGGAGGGCCTGGTGGATTCGACCTGCTGACCGTGGGGTTCGCAGCCAGATTCTTAACCACTACACTACCAGGCCTTGCACCTTCAAGATGGCGGATCGGGTAGATGTGTAGTGAGGATCTCTGTCAACAACAACATGGGAATACCGGGCCAAAAGGGCTCACGGGACGGTGTTGGAACAGTGAAACAAATATAAAGGTATGTTTGGAGGATCAAGGGTTTACAGCTGGGGAATTTGCAGGAGAATCCAGAAATCCATTGTTTTCTGGTTCAAGACATTCAGCTGTTCTGAGCTGCCATGGAGGGGCGGGAAAGAGAATATCTTGATTGTATCAGGATTGATAGTATCAGGATAGAACATCTTGATTGTATCAGGATTGATACTGAAATTTAAAGTGACAGTTTCAACATAAAACCAAACGGCCACCACTCGTCTGTCTGTCGTGCTGTGGTGGTTTGAATTGCTATGATTCTGAAGGCTCTGCCACCTGTATTTTAAATAATCAGCAGGGTCACCCATGGTGGACAGGTTTCAGATGAATGAGCTTCCAGACAAAGACAGACTAGGAAGAGTGACGAACTACTTCCGAATTGCTAGTCACTGAAAACTATGAATAGCAGAGAAACACTGTCAGATACAGGACCGGAAAATGAGCCCCTCAGGTCGGAAGGCACTCAGAATGCAACAGGGGAAAAAATGCCTCCTCAAAGTAGAGTTGACCATGATGACGTGAATAGAGTTAAGCTCGGGGGAGAAAAGCGCACAGAATCTTCATCTGCTGATGGGCCACAATTCAAAATGAAGATAAATAGCTGTAAACATCCATTGAAAATTGGAACATGGAATGTACGAAGTATGAATCTGGGAAAATTGGAAGTTGTCAAAAATTAAATGGAACGCATCAACATCGGTATCTTAGGCATTAGTGAGCTGAAATGGACTGGTATTGACTATTTTGAATCTGACAACCACATGGTTTACTATGCAGGGAATGACAAATTGAAAAGGAAAGGTGTTGCATTCATTGTCAAAACGAACATATCTAGATCAGTCATGAGGTACAATGCTGTCTGTGATAGGATAATATCCATGTGCCTACAGGGAAGCCCAGTTAATACCACTATTATTCAAATTTA